GCAGTTCAAGAACTTACGAGCACTCAGCCTCTCTGGGAACCCCATCGCCGAGGCAGAGGATTACAACATGTTCATCTTGGCCTACCTTCCTGACCTCGTGTACCTGGACTCCCGGCACATCGACGACCACATGGCAAGCATCTCCCTCTGGGTCTCCTAGTTCTGTGAGACAGTCTTCAGGTCCCCTGGTTTCACAGAAAGGGACACTGAGGCAGAAAGAGCACCTCTTCCTCACTCTTACCTGCCTCTGTCAGAACGATTCCAGGAGGCCCCTTGAGGTCACTGTAGAGTGCTTGCTCACAGTGCCAAGGCTCTGTCTGTGTGCCGCCCCCAGGCCATTGTGGGGAGTCCTCTGGTTCTTTCGTTTGGGACCTGTTTCTTTGTCTCCCGATTCTGGCTGCCTCTCTCTAATTGTTTCTGGGTTAGGTAGAGCAGCTATGCCTCCCAGTCTTAGCATGAGGTCATATGTAGTAGGTGTCCAGTGGAGCTCAGTGGCACCTGATCACTAAGCCAGGTGCTTCAGGAGTGTCCCTTGTGTGGGTTCTGTGAACCCTCCCTGTGGTAGTTGAGTCTTGATTGCTGTTGGCTCATCTGTGGGTGGGGTTGACCCCAGGCTGGCCGACTGTGAGGATTGACCCAACCACAGAGAACCACGAGCTGCCGTGCTGTGCTGACCCTGTGAAGTAGAATTCACCCCAGCAGGGTCTGTGCCTGCCGAGATCTGCCTTTGGATGTGCCACTTGTGGAGCAAATTGGGTCCTGCTCTGATGTGGTCTGAATCCTGCCAGCAGGTTTGTTGACTCTGGGGTCTTTTGGGAGGGATCCAGTGCAGGACATGTTAGGCGCTGCCTGTGACCGGCCCTGGGCTACCTTTTTGGAGCCACAAAGCAATCCACAGTTTGCCGCTGCCTCTGCTGGGCCTGGGTCTGCGTGGGAGGGGAAATTCACACCAAGGTTGGCTTTCACCCGCACCAATCCCCAGGAGCAGGTCAGCAAAAGGTCCAGGACTCCCCAAGATCTGCTTCTGCCAGCTGGCTGCCTGTTAGGCTCAGTCACTGAAAGGGCCTCTGGCAGTATGTGGGTTGCATGAGATAGGTTCTCAGTGAGTCACCAGGTAGGGGCAAGTGGTGTTCACCGGGCTGAAACATTCACACTCGGCACCAGTGCTGGAACTGGGGCCACTCAGCGAAACTCTCAATGCACAGCAAGGTCAGCCTGCACCACAGGTGCCTGTGGACCTTTGTGGTAGGCGGGGTCTCGGGGAGTGGTAAAGGTGAGGGCATCAGGTTCATCAGGCCCAAACAGACCAAGATTGGGACGTGTGAAGGGAGGGTTCTCTTTGCACAGGACCAGCAGTGCTGGTCAGGCATGTGAGGGAAGAGTGGCCCCTGCCCTGGAGCCGCACAGCTCAGTCTGTCCCTCCTGGAGAGCATCCCAGGAGAGGCCGCAACAAGGGCCATGCTGGCCTGCATGCTGGCCACAGCCAGCTCACTTCTGTGTAGTGCATAGCAAGGAGGGGCCACTTGGAGATGGGAGGGTGGGGCTAGTGGATCTTCCGTGGGGGTGTGGGTGGTGCCACTGGTCAGGGCCAGAGGTGGGGGAGGGGAGTGGCCCCCACCCCAGAGCTACACAACTTAATCTGTGATACCCACAGAGTTTGCCCTCAAGAGCCCCTCCAAGAAAGTCCACACTATCAGCTCAAACCTTCAGAGCCCTTCTATACTGTCTGATTTTCATGATGAAGTTGAGACAAAAACATGAGGGTCAGCAGCCATGGCAGAGCCAGGATTCATCCCTACTCTGTGCACCCCAGAAGCAACATTAATAGCTAACTGTTGTGCATTTATGTGCTAAGCAAATTGCAGTATTTCACCACAATCTGTCAAACAGGCTCCACTCTTATCCCCAGCTGGCCAATGGGAAAGTGGTCACAAGTAAGACAACTCACGCAGGATCACATGGCCACTGCCAGTCAAGTTGGGCACTGCCTAGGCAGTCTAGCAGCAGAGTTTGTGCAGGGCTCCCCCCAGCCAGGGGGGCACTGCCCTGTCCACTAGTGGTTTGTCCACTGCCAACTCTGTCTACCACCTACCCTGTCCACCACCTGGTCTGTCCACTGCTGACTCTGTCAACCAACTTCTCTATCCACCGTGGACTCTGTGTACTGCCTAGTCTGTGCACCATCCCCTCTGTCCACTGCCCCCTTCTCTCCTATTTTCCCTGTTATAAGCTGGTTCTCTTTCACTTGCTTCTCCTTCTTTGCAGTGTGATCCGTTGGTGGGAATCATTACCACTGGACAAGAGAATCTCTCAGTGTGTGAGGCTTAGGCAGCAGGACTGGGATACCCCTGTGTGTTGGGAGCCAGGAAGACTGAGGACTGTTTGTCCCGCCCCCTGCTTATCACAGGATGCTGGTGCCTTCCTAGGAGAGAGGACCCTGTGCTCGGGGCAGGCTGATTGGTGTGTGGAGCCCGAGGAGAGCCCGGGGAAGTAGGGAGAAGGGCTGGACTGTAGATCTCCACACTGATCCTCCTGGGCCAGGACTGAGGAGCAGAGCCCTGCCCCCAGGCAGACTGCATGGCTCTCCAAGTCTAGAGCTCTCCACTAGCATTTTTCTCCGAATAAACCATGGGGCTGTACAATTCCAGATCCCCTCCTAGGCATTCTCTCCTCAGTCCCCAGAAGTTTCCACAAAGGGCAGTAGCACAGCCTGGACATCCCCACTGTGCTTTGAGGAAACGAAGACTGCTTTCAGGGTTCTGAGACATGCTTAGAAGCATTGAGATAAATAATAAGTAAAAACTGAGTTCTGCCCTATCTGGTATGGTTTCATTGGTGGGAGGATTGTCCCGTAACTGAACGGTTGTGTGTTCAATTCCTAGTCAGGGCACATACCTGGGTTGCAGATTCCATCCCCGGTCCTGGTGTATATGATTCCTGGTCCTGGCATGTATGGAAGGCAACCCGTCGATGCTTCTTTCTCAAATTGATGGTTCTCTCTCCCCTCCTCTCTCCCTAACGCAATGGGAAAAAGAAATCCTCAGGTGAGGATAAAAAGCCAAGTTCTGCAAAGCAGAAGAACCTGTCTGCATTACTGTCCATCCTGAGGCCAGCCCCAGCCTGCCCAGACCCCGGCCTCTCAGTGCTATAGGAGTCAGACAGCAAGACAGCAGAGCCCCATCACAGGCCGACCATGGGGCTAGGGCAGGTTCTTGGGTGCCTTCCAGGTCCAAGGACCCACCCCCTACCTGCGTTTCTATGAGGCACTTTGAAGTCAAAGCCCTAGGCTGCACCTGCAGGCTGGCCCTCCCTTCAGTCCACCGCACAGGACGGGCAGGGGCTGTGAGCTCCGGGGCTCCATGCAGGGAGGGGAGAGACAGGCAGGACAGGCAGTTGCCATCAGCAGGGTCACGGGTGGTGTTTGGAGCTCATCTAATTGAAGATGGAGGCCCAGGGAGAATCCTGAGCAGTTCTCAGCAGAATTCCTGATCTGGTGATTGATCTGGGAATTAGAGGAAAAGAGAGAGATAGGGGAGGGTGTGCAGGATCCATGGTCCAGAGAGAAAGAGAGAGAAAGAAGTAGCCTCACTCAGGGCTATAGGAATGGAGATGGCAGGAGGGCTGGGTACTAGAAATTTTTCAAAACTTAAACTTATTTATTGAAGTATGACTATGTTAGGAAACAGAATGTAAGCATACAGCTCAATGAATAGCAAGAGATCTTCAGAAGAATTTCAACTTGTGCAATATACTCATAAGCAGTTCTCAGCCAAGGCCCATGTTAAGGCATAACATTATGCCAACATGTGTCCTGACATTGTGTTTGATTGGAACTGGGCCAGACCTCGGACAGCACAGGGCAGTGAGAGGCAAGCTCAGGCTCTGGGGCTATACAGGCCCTGGGTAAGGCCCTGCCTTCTCTTACAGTGCCAGCACACTGGGAAGGGAGACCAACAGTGAAATCTTCCCACAGATGTGTGGAAATGCCAGGAGGGCAGAGCAGGGGCTGAGAGAGATGTATAGGGGGGTTGTTGGTTATTGGATGGCTTTCCCCAAGGAAGTAGTTTTGAGATGGATCCACAGGACGGGCAGGAGTTGACTGGGCAAAGCCAGAAAGCAGAGCACATGCAAAGGCCCTGGGTCAGGAGGCAGCACTGTGAGCAGCCCAGGGTCTGGAGCTTGAATGGCTAGAGAGAAGGCCGGGTGGAGGGTAGGCAGGCAGAACCTTGCAGGCCAGAGCGGGAGCTTGTCACTACCCTATGCCCAAGAGTAAGCCATAAAGGGTAAGTGAAGGACTGGCAAGTTCAGATTTGCATTTATCAGATTGCTCTAGTTGCTTGTGGGAGGGGTGGACAGACTGGACGGTGACAGGGTGCATAGAGGAGGCCAGCTAGGAGGTTGAGACAGGGGTCCTGGTATTACCAGAAAGGGGACCAGGCCTAGATGGGTCTACCTAGGGCCAACTGGTAGTGTGTGGGCTCTTGACTTTGTGCAAGAAACAGTTCTCAACATGAACCCAGGTGATTTTGAGATGTTTATTAAAGCATAAGCAGTGAAGCAGACAGTGAAACAAGAAAGGGCTTAGAAGAAACAGCAGGAGAGCCCAGGCTGGGCTGCTTTAGCTCAGTGGGAAGCCAGAGACAAGCAGCCCTGGGGATGGGTTTAGAGGACCGGCCTGGGAGGAGCTGCCACTGTGCACTGCTCCCCTGGTTGCAAGTCTCTTTAGGAGATGCACGCCTGTAGGAGAAGAAGAGGGCAGAAAGAAAAGGTGTGGGCCTGCTCCCAGGAGGGAGAGGGAACTCCAGGTCCTTTGTCTAGAGGGTTTTTAAAGGTTGGGAGTTTAGGGGAGCTGTCAGCGGAGGATCTCCATAGAAGAGTCACCAGCTTTCCCAGGTGTGTCCTTTCAGGGGGCCATTAGTTATCAAAGCTGGTCCTGGTCTCACCCACCTGCTTTTGCTGCTTTTCTGGGCCTGGAGCTGAAACACAGCTGAGGCTTAGATGTTGTCTCCAGGGGGGTGACCATCTGTATTAGCTGTGAATTGCTGGGCCATTGTGTTCAGCCATCTGTCTCAGTTTTCCTAGTCCAATGGTCAAGGAATATTCCTTGGCCATTGGCATCTTACTGTCCTGCATCGCTGGCAAGAAATGATGTGACAATCAGGAGGTAGCATGGACAGGCCTGGTCACAGCCTGGGTCTGAGGCAGGGGAGGGCCCAGGATGCTCCCAGGTCCCTGGCTTGGGTACGGGCTGGCTGGGGGGCACTGGCCTAGGTGGAACTCTGGGAGGACAGAGATGCATCTTGGACAAGGGTGAGTTGGCTCTTGAGGGAGCCAGGGGGCATGAGACCATCGGGAGCTTATGTCTGGCACTCACAGCTGGGGTCTGGGCTGGACGTAAAGACCTGAGTGTTGTCAGAGGACAAAGGACCTTGTACTTGAAGACTGTACACCTGGGGTGCATAGAGTGAGCCCAGAAGGCTGAAGACCAAGCCCTAGGGACACCAGCACCCTCTGCAGGCACAGGGGATGAGCTGGGTGTGTGAGGAAGGCCAGCAGGTGGCAGGGCACAGAGCCAAGCGCTGAGATGCTTGTGACCAAGCCTGTAACTTAGGTGACTCACTTTACCCCTCTCCTGTTGTGCATCCATAAAAGAAAGCGAGAACACTGACCTTGGAGGCTTCCCCTTATCCTGTGGCCCCCAGCCTTGGGGTTGTCTCACAGGTCCTTGGCCTGCCTGTGCTGCCTCCATACCCCTATTTGTCCTTCCCTAATCTCTCCAAGACACTTGAAAAGGGCTGTCACGGGATAGCTTCCTTGCCAGAGTGAAAGTGAGAGTAAGTTTATGAAAGTTTGGGACAATGAGGCCAAGGAAGGGCCCCTGGAGACAGGATCAGGGGATAAGCCTGGAATGAGCCGCCGTTGCCTGTTGTTCCCCTGGGTGCAGGTCTCGTTGGGACCCTTCAAGCTTGGGATAGAAGTGATGTACACGCCTGAGGAAAGGGGGGGCGAGTGTGTACTCAACAAAGGGAGCATGCAGGCATCCTTTGCCTGAGGGGTTATCCATTCATGTTTTGTATAAGCGGGACTTCTAGGGGCAGTCCCAGGGAGGATCTCAACGAGCTATGCACTAGGCCTCTGGGGTGTTGTTTAGTGTATCAATATATTAAGATGAGCATGTGGTGGTTAGTTCCACCCGTATCTTGGATAGTCTGGCTCTAACTGGTTTTTTGTTATCTATCTCCCTAAGGTGGTTTAAACCACCTGCTCTTAGGTGTCTGGTTAATGAGGGTAGTCTTGTGATTTGTCAGCTGGCTGTTAATTGCTCAGCTCTTCCATCCATTTGTTCAGTCATTTGTTTCAGTTTTCTCCTTCCACTTGCCAGGAAATTTTCCTAGGTTTTTACTAACCTGCCTCAGGGCCATGAGCCGTTCTCATCCATACCTCTGCCCATTCTTGAGACACCATAGGATGGCAAAGATCAGCATGGCTCTAAGGGACCAGATGTCTTCTGGTAACAGTGTCACTTCCCGTTCCCCCAGAAAGGGCTGGCAGAGCTTAAACACCAGTTCAGCATCGATGAGCTGAAGCACCGGGAGAACCTGATACAGGCCCGGCTGGAGGATGAGCAGGCCCGGCAGGAGGAGCTGGAGGAACACAAGGTATCCTCGCCCGGAGGAGCCCTACTCCCCACCTCTCCCGGCCCTGCCTCCAATTGCTGCCCACAGGGCACTGGTCAGGCTTCCCAAAGGTCAGTAGGGCCCAAGCCCTTGAAACCTGCCTGGTGGTTGAAAACAGATGCTATGTGGCCACGACCCAGCACTGAGGAAGCGTGTAAATTGTGCTCCATCCACGGAGCTTGGTGCTGGGTCCCTGCTTTGCTCTGCCCACTGCCTGCCCCCAGGACCAGTTCCACCTGAGTCTAGACCTCACCTGACTTATCTTCTCCAAGGGGCTGGGGAGGTTGTGCTGGAACAATTTGTCAGAGCAGTGGGCCTTTTCCCGAACCCCCTAGGCAGTTCCTCATGGCGGCCAGGAAGGTTCAAGTCTGGGCTCAGCATGGCCCTGGGTTCACAACAGAGCCCCTAACTGCCTTCCTCCCCACAGTCGCCACCCCTCCCACTTCCACAGCCAGACCAAGCTGTGTGTCTCTGCCCATTTTTATGCCTCTGGCCCTCCCCGCAGGTGCCAGGCCCCAAGCCCAGCACCTGCCTCCCTGCCTTGCCCTCCTCAGAGGGCCAATCGTCCACCCCCCACAGGGCCCAAGTGCAAAGCCTGAGCTCAGCTGTGCCTCTGGCCTCTTCTGTCCTAGGCTGCGTTTGTGGAGCACCTGAACGGCCCCTTCCTGTTTGACAGCATGTACGCAGAGGACGTGGAGGGTAACAAGTTGGCCTGCCTGCATGGCGCGGGCGAGCTCCTCGAAGCATATCCTTTCTGGACCACGGTGGCTGCCGTGGCCAGGCCTGGGCCCCATGGGCCCTGCCTACCTGCAGCCAGTCCCTTTCTACTCTGAGCTTCAGTTTCCCCAACTGTCTTTGAGCCCTTGGAAGGTGAGACCTCTACTTCGGAGCACGCAGAGACAGGCCCTCGGAGCTGCACGGAGAGTGGCACCTGGCTTGCAGAGGGCCCCTGGAGGTCCGGCCTGCAGGGCCCGAGCCTGGTGCTGGACAAGTTGGGTCAATAGTTTGGCTGAAGTGTGTGTCTGTGGCACTGACCCTCCTCAGCCATAGTTACAGTTCCTTCTGCTGCTTTGCACACTAGACAGGTGCTGCTCTGTAATCACATTTTATATTTGGGGAAGCTCTCCTTAGAGAGGTTGACTTGTCCCAGGTCACACAGTTAAAAGCTGGGAGTCTAACCCTAGTCTGTGAGTCTAAGAGCTTGAACTCTTTCCCCAGCTGGTCAGAGCCCACAGGATGTGGCCAGCACTTGCCATCACGGCCATGAATGCAGTGGTCAGTCGGTTGGCATAAACTATAAGCTGAGGGACTCATGATGAAATTGAGGGGTTCCTGGTCTGAGAGTGCTGAGACGAAGCAACAAGTCAGAGTGCGCCTGTGGAACACCATCTCTGAGGAGAAAAACTCACTTTTAAATACCTAGCATTCCAAGAAGAGTTGGGGAGGGGACAGTCTGATGTGGAGCTGAGCAAAAGCTGAAGAGCAGGGCTCTGGTTCAAGCTGGGTGACCTGGGCTTGCACTGAGGCTGTAGCACCTGCCTGGCCTCAAGGTCCTCCCAAGGACTCCATCCAGTAGATTCTGCCGTGCCCTCGCATGCAGGTGACGAGTGAAAGGCCCAGAGAGGGGAAGCAGCTTGCTAAGGAGAAGGAGTGGCAGAGGCAGAACTTGAATCTGGATCTCTGTGCTCCTAGCCTGCATTCCCCCTATGTCCGCAATTTCCCTCAGTGCGCCTGTGGTCCCTGAAGACAGGCCCTCAACACAGGTGTCCTCGAGACAGCACAGCAGAGGCAAAAACACACATGTCTTGGGCTGGCTCCCTGTGGTCTCTGGCCCTCCTGGCCCCCCCATCCCGCCACCCCCATCCCCAGTCTCCTTTCTCCTCTGCTCTGCAGCCTCCTGCTGTTGCCCTGCCTCCTTGCCCCCACACCCACACCCGTATGCACAAAGGTCACGTTCCTGAATCCCCAGGAATGTGAGGTGCCTCAGTGACACTTTACTCTCCAAGTATCCACCATGGGCTCTTCTCTGTTCGAGGGAGCTGCCACCACGTGGTACTGGAAACAGCCTCAAGTTTCCTTAACAGATGCTAACCTACAAGGACAAATTTGTCGTCATCTGCGTGAACATTTTCGAGTATGGACTGAAACAGCAGGAAAAGCGGAAAGTGGAGCTTGACACCTTTAATGAGTGTGTGCAGGAGGCCATCCAGGAGAACCAGGGACAGGGCAAATGCAGGATCGCAGAGTTTGAGGAGAAGCACCTGCTGGTAGGCCTGCCCTCCCACCCCTCCCTGCTGCCTGCCCCCATGCCCGCCTGTGGCAGGCCTGGCCCCACCAGAGGGCTGCAGCCCCTGTCCCTCTGATGACTCCTGAGGCCCATGGTTTTTGTCCCCATTTGCTAGAGCTCACACAGCTCAGTGGCTGAGCCTGGGTATTGCCTTCCCCTGGCACCACCAGCCATAGCTACTCTGCCGGCCAGGGCTGAGCCAGGCTTGGAGCCTGTGGGTCTCCTTCACCTAAAACAGCCCCAGGGTTCAAGGTAACATCATCATCACTATTGAAATGATATTATTACCACTACTATTATAACTATGTTACGAGCCCTGCTCTGGGCCTGGCACCCAGGCCCCTTCCCTCCAGAAAGGTCAGCTCTAACCTGGTGGGAAGCAGGAGGCCTTGGGGGTTTCCAGGGGCACTTGACCTCAGGCCAGAACTTACGGGACAAAGAAGAGTTATCCAGGGGTGGTGGAGGAAGAAGAGGGGGTTCACCCAGGGAGGGACGCTGGGGCATGCAGGACCAGCCGGACCCAGGCCACTGAACCATGCCCACGCAGGGCTGTGTGTGCTCACGGGGACTGTTTCCTCAGTTAGCATTACTTTGGAAGGCCGAGTCCTACCCTGCTCTAAGCCATAACCCTTTGGAGATTCTACAGAAAGCCATGTGAACACTCGTCTGCAGCACTAGGGGCTTCAGGGAGCCCCTGGAGACACTCCAGGTTGGAAACTCCCAATTTAAAGTAGAGCAGAGTCCCCCGATGATGCAAGCTCAGATATAAGGGGGGTGGCAATAGCTGGCGGTACACTGCCCATGCCCCACTCTTTGGCCCTGTTCTCCCACCCCTGTGCCATGAACCTCACCAGCCAGACCTAGGGTGTGGGGAGGGGCGTCGTGCCTTCAGCCAGAAGTCCAAAGCTGTCAGCAAAGGAGCATGTTTGGCTCCATGTGTGTTTTGTTTGGCTTGCAGAGGGTTTTAGAACATTTTGAACATCCTTATGACTTCGAAAACCAGAGGATCTCTTAGAAAAATTGTGGTTGTTCACTTCTCGGAGGTAGCTGTCATCAGAGCCCGAGCAACGCTGTCTGCTCTGGATGGGCCATGTCTGCAGTTGTCCAGGCCCTGTCTGGCACATCCGCTCTGACATTTCTTATCTGGTCCCTGTAGCCACTGGACTCCGGACACCTGGATGTCTGCCAGCTGGCTCCTCCCAAAGCCCCATGTGGGGGCCCGGCCCCTCAGCCACAAATGCTGCTGGGGAGCAGGCATGGGCTGGCCACCACCAATGCTGCCCTCTTGCTGCACCAGGCCCACTTCCCGACCTGCTGCGCCTGCTTTAGGCATGGTCTGCATGGTGGCACCCTAAGAGGCTGCCTGGGTTGAGTAGGTGGACCTGAGCGCTCCCCTCCAAGGGCTGAGGGCCAGGGTTCGCACACAGCCAGCAAGGCAACGTCCACTGGGACCTGACAACACACTGGTGCCACCCAGGGATGTGCCTGGCACTGGTGTTTCTCAGTGCTCCCGGGGCCTCCAGCACTCAGCCGAGTTGAGCCTACTGTCTTGGAAGCCCACAGACTCCACAGGCCTAAGGAAGCCCTCAGTTCACTGCCTGTGAGGGACCTCTTCAAGAGCCAGTCCTGCCCCCTTCCCACCACCCCCACTAGACAGGGGCTGTCAGAACACCCTTCCTGGGGCCTAGCAGGGGCTGTTCAGGCAAAACCCTCACTGGGGACCCTCTGCCAGCTGGCCTCCCTTTCCTCACTGGTAAGACAGGTAACCACCCCCTAGGACTGAGGTGGGGCCGCAAGATGGGGCAGAGCCAGCATACATATGTGACCAACGGTCCCTGTGTGGTAGAAGCCACTCCAGTGACTAGGTGGTGAGTGGCAGTGGAGAGGTGATACCAGCACAGGCACAGACATGGGACAAAAACTGTACAGAGTGCACAGTCAGTCTGCCTCCAACACCGTGTGTCTGTGCATGCACGTGCACATGCCTGAGTATGCTCGTGGCTGTGTGTGCCTGTGTGCACACGTGTGTACATGATGAATAGTGTCCGCTGTTCTACACTTTGCTATTTTATCTGTGCACCTCAGAGATCCTTCTAACACTCGAGTGGCTTTATGTCTTTAATAGTCATAAAATATCTCATTGCATGGGTGAGTCAGAATTTAGTGAGCCAGTCCCTGCTGATGGGCAATCAGGTTTTTCTGCTCTCTTGCTCTTTCATACAGTGTTGCAGTGGATCCCTTGGTGCAAGTGTGGCCCTCAGGATGAAGTCCTGGAGGCTGTGTGCATCGCCACTTTAAGGAGTTCGGAGATTGCACCCTCTGCGTTCCGCCCACTCTCCTGGCAGGCCCGTGGTGGCAAGCTCTCATTTTTGTCGGCCTTATAGGAGTATATGTTTATTTTCTCATAAGTGGGAGCAAGCACCACATCTTTTACAAACATTTGCATTTCCTATTTGTGAACTGTTCTCATAATATGCTCTTACCTATTTTTCTGTTTGGTATTTCTCTTTCTCTATCTCTACTTCTCCTTTTTAAAAAATTGACTTTGTCAGAGCATTTTGTAGATTGAGAAATTAGCCCTGAGTCAGTGAAATAAGTTGCAAATCATTTTCCCAGTTTGATTTTTATCTTATCATTTTGTCTATGGTTCTTTTACCATTCAGAATATTAAAAATTTTTATGTGATAGAATTTATTAGTCTCCTGGTTATGCTTAGAAAGGACTTCTCCACTTTGAAATTATTTTAAAAACTCATTCTTTCTAGAACTTTTATGGCTTTACTTTTTACATTTAAGACTTTATTCTGTCAGGAATTTACTTTCATGTAAGGTTTGAGGTAGGGATTGAGCCTGATTTTTCGCCAGCTATCATTCACAAACCCTGCCCCAAATCATGTCATTATTCTTCCCTCACAGCTAATACCAAATGCCAAGAAAACAAGCTGACCTTGTAGCCAGTGGCCAAGTGTCTGGGCCCTAACAAAGGGCTGGTATTCAGCACTGCACACAGACCCTAAGGTGCTCTGCAACCTGTGAGCACCCTCCACTCCAAATGGGCTGCCTCTGTTAGCTGTAGCACCCTGGGCCCACTGGAGGAGTTGTGTGTGGGTACACCACCTTCCGCAGACCAAGCCTATCTCGAGTTCCCCGCATCTCCCCCTGCCCAGGGCCTGCAGCAGACCCCCTATCTGAGCTTTCATGAGTCCAGCCCCCACTGTGAGCCAAGGCCCCACACCAACCACCTGACCCCCAGGGCTCCAGGAAGCACGGGTTCTCTCCCCTTTGCTTGCGGAAACTGAATCTTAGAGAGCACAAAGGGCTCATTCAAGGTCCTGTTGCTAATAAGTGACTCAGAGGGGGACGCAGGTTTGTCAGACTCCAAAGCCACCTCCAGCAAAAACCCAAGCATCTGCTCTGATGGCCTTGAAAGGGAATTAGCTTCTTTGAACTCACAGGGCTGCCTCTTGAGCCTGAGCAGCACAAACCCAGAGCCCAGGTCCCAAAACCAAATTGTCACCTGTCGTTAACTAATTACAATCAGTGATGGATCCCTAAAGCACAGTCTTTGTTTTCAGAGCTTAAGTGCCATCCGAGATGAGTCCGAACTGAGCAACCTTGAGAAGAAGATAGCAGAGTGCAGCAAGGACATCAGTGAGCTGTTCAACACGCTCATGACTCTAGAGATGCAGCTGGTGGAGCAGCTGGAGGTGAGGCTGGGGCCCTGGGCACAGACTTGAATGACCGTGCACTGCCAGGCTCACTCGAACAAAGCTGCCCATGCAGCTGCAAAACCACCCTCAAGCAGGAGCCTTCCCAGGCTTTCCTCTGCTGGGGAGGTCTAGCCTGACGGTTTCCCGCCTATTGGCCCTGGGTTCGCCTTTAATACAGTGCAAGTGATGCTCAGGCAGCAGGACAGGTGAGCTCATTCCTTTGCAATGCCTCCCTCCCAGGACCTTCTCAAACAGGGAGACCCCCCTCAGCATTGCAGAATTCCCCAGAACCTGGGCACAGCTATGCTGGTGTCATGGTCACATCTGTGTACAGCACCTGAAAGCCTCTGAGCGCAGTCGTGCTTTTCATTGATGTTGTTTTTATTCATCACAACAGTGTTCGCACGTGTCTATAATATATGCAGTTGGTTCGGCTTGCAGACCATCTTCAGGCTCACACAGATTCCCCATACCTGTGCCCCCTGTGGCCCTGGATTCTAGTGGATTGGGGGCATGACCCACCCTGGGGCTCACACAGTTGGAGGCTTCACCGTGCATCATCTGCCATTATTCCTTCCATCAACATCAAGTCCCACTTAGGCACTGTCTACCTTACTAAGTACCAGGATGCAGCTATGCTGGGGCTCCCTCCGGGTGCAAACAGTCTGGGATAATGACCAGGCAGCTTGCAGAGCATTGTGTGTGAAGTGACCTCTTTATACTTCACCACAAACTTCAGGAGACAGGCCCTACACAGGAAGCCCATTGCACGAGTGAGGAGGCTGAGGCCCAGGAAGGTCAGAGGCCTTCCAGAGTTACACGTGGTGGTGGGGCTGGGGCACTGACCCAGGCATCTGGCTCTTACTGATCCCCTCCCTGTTTCTCTGGAGGTGAGAGAGATACCATTGATGGCCCTAAGGAAGGAGGGGCTCTGTGTGTGTTGGGGGCATGGGTTAAGACCAGGCCCGAAGCTGTTGGCAAAGGGAACAGGCAGAGGCCTGGAGAGAGTGTTGCATCGAACATTCAAGTGGTTGTGAGCGAACCAACGTGGCCAGGAGGTGATGGAGCTGTGGGGCAAGGTCAGGAGGGCAAAGTGGGGTCATGTCACAAACACCTACCAGGGAAGGCCAAGATGGCTGGTCCTGATCTTGAAGGTCTATAACTAGAGGAGGTGCCAGTCATGTTCTAGGCTAGGTGCCTAGCCTTTGGCTCTGAGGCTAGGCCAGTCAAGGTCATGTTTAAATATGCATGTTAACTGTGTTTTTTACCATTTCTAGGAAACTATAAACATGTTTGAAAGGAACATCATCGACTTGGTGGGGCTCTTTATTGAAAATGTCCAAAGCCTATATCCTTTCCTTGGAGGCCTTCCATGGGGAGGGGCCACTGGGCCCAGGGAAGGGGCAAGGATCCTGGCCCTCGCTGTGCTCCCCCTGCCTGCAACGGGTGCTGGGGCAGAGGCTCCTGCAGCTTTAACAAAAGGCAGGGAAGGGTATTGCTCTGTCCCAAACTAACCAGGATACCACTGAGTGGGATTCCCTCCCTGGCGGCCACCGGTGGGGACGCTGCCTGCCCCCGCCACAGCCATCAATGCCCTAAACACATTGGCAGAGACCGTCACAGCACGTCACTTTGCTCCTTATGAGAAGTAGCTTTACAGGAAGATCCATACCTCCATCCAGATGATATTGAAGTCATCACGGGACCTTATTGAGTAGGAAGCTCCACCTTTGAAATTGGAGGGATGGAAAACCTCTAGTTTTCCAGCAAGGGAAAAAGCTTACCTTCAAAGGGTGGAGGTCTGGCAACCACTTCGAGTGTTCAAAGAACGTTTCTGGGTCCAAGCTTTGTTCCCGTTACCCTCGCAGGGCTGCTGTTCTGGGTGGGGCTGAGTCGGGGGGACAGAGGCATGGTTTGTAATAGAAGTTTTAGAATGTTTATTCTCAAATGCTTAACGCTCAAGGGGAGCCCACACCTTGGAATCCCCACCTGCTGTCTGTGCTGGAGGTCTACATGCCAGGGATAGACAACTGGGACAACCTCCAAGTTGAGGACACTGATGCATTATTCATAATGAGCCAGGCAGGTTAATTTTCTGGGTCAGGAGCCAACATTTGGGGGATGACCAACCCTCTGCCACCCGAACTCAGCCCTGTCTGTTTGGGGCAAATTGCTGTGTTCCACCCCCAAAGTAGTCCCTGGCCTGCCCTCCTGGCCCACAGCCCCACAGGGAAAGGGAAGTGACAGAGGCAGGGAGTGAGCAGCAGCTGACCTAGAGCCATGGCTAGCAGCCTCCTGGAGGGAGGGCCCACTGAGGAAGGGCCCGAGGTGCTGGGTAGAAATGTGGGGAGAACTAGCAGACAGAGGAAGCAGCCTGGGCAAAGGTCCTGAGGAGGAGTCAGATTCCTGGATCCTAGGAGGCCCTCAGACTACAGCAGAGTGGAAAGTTCGTGGAGAGGGGAGGGGCCTGTTCACATCACTACAGCCCTCTCCAGCCACTGTGGGGAGAAAGGGTGAGAGCCAAGCCTAGGGCTCAGTGTACTGTCAAGTGAGAAGGCAGTGGGATGGAGGGACCCTGGGGAGCCCAGAGCCAATGGCGAGTGACAGCCAGGTGTGTGCATGGGGCGGGCACAGGCAGGATGGCCCTGGGCTTAGGGCTCAAAGGCAATGATGCGCTGGCCCTTAGGTGTCTGTCCTCGTCCCACGGCTGGCCTGTTCCAGCCCTGGCCTTTGCTTAACTCCCACCACACGATGGCACAGTGTCGGGACCTGGAGAACCACCACCATGAGAAGCTCCTGGAGATTGCCATCAGTGCTCTTGAGAAGACGGTCAAGGGCGAGATGGAGGAGGAGCTACCCGATGAGGTCCGGGCGGTAAGTGGGGTGAGTGTGGGGGCAGGGGGAGGTGCTAGAGCCAGGCAGAGTCCAGCCCAGCTCTGTGGCTCCAGGAAGCCTGAAAATCTCAGAGGCCTCAGTTTCCTCATCTGCAAAAGGGAATAATATGCCCCTTTGTAGGGTGGTCAGCAGGTGAAAAAGGCAAACAAAACACTTGGTGGGGGACTCAGTGGGGCTCAAGTACAGAGAAGCTCATAAAATCTCAACTACCTAAAAATAAATTGGTTTCCAAAAGCTCATTTCTGTGCGGCTTCTGGCACTTTCTAGGAGAGGCAGTTAAAATAGAAGCTAAGGTCTGAAATTTTCCCCAAAGGCCTTCTTAACCCTTGAGTCTCTAGGATGAGCACCTACCCCTCCACCCCAGCTCTGTTTCTGATTCAGCACGATGCCTCCAACTTGCCACCAGAGTGCCTAGTGATGAAGGGTCACAGACCAGCAGGTGCAGCCTGGGCCCCCAGCCATCTGGGTAGGCTACGATGGGGCAGGAGCAGTGTGAGTTGTGTCTCTGAGGAGCCGCTGATGACATAGACAGTCTCAGGCCCAGACACTTTGCTGTCAGGGGCCTTTCATTCCCTTGTACATTGCAGCCTCAGTCTCTCCTACTCTCCACCTCTGTGCTGTCGACAAATCCCGCCACCACTGGCCTGTGCATGGATGCCGGCCTCCCTCCACCTCCCTGCAGGCCGTTCTCCACACAGAAGCCAGAGGGCCCCAGAAACCCGGGCCACAATGCCCTCCAACAGCTCCCGGGACTCCCTGAGGACACTATTCCTCCCACCCTGCAGGCCAGGCCTGCTGTCCCGCCACCACCACTGCCTCTCCTGGCCCCTGGCCTTGGAGCTACCCCCACATCTCCAGGGCTCACTTCTTCTGGATGATGTTCTGCCCAGCAGACATGTTCTTCCCTTGGGTTTCGTTGTGTCTGGATTGTCCTTGTCATTCAGTGCTCAGGTCAAATGCCAGCTCCTTGGAGAGGCCGTCCCTCACCACCTTCCTGGAAAACCCTAGTCTGTCACAGACCTCATCTGTCATCATCAGAGCCCTTATCCCAGGTTTAAGCTCTCTGGTTTACATTGCCTTGTTTCTGTGACTATGCACACTGCATGGAGGAAAGGCAGGGATGGCCTCCTCTCCACCATGTTCCTCCCCAGGGTGGGCAGTGGCACATGGCCCAGCTGAGGTGCCAGGATCCCAGTACCCAGTGTGAGGTAAGTCTGACAGATACCAAGACCAGCAGCCCCTACTCCTACAGCCTCATCTGGGCTGAGACAGACACCCAGCACAGAAACATGGAGGCAGGGCCACTCATTGGGTCACCAGCCTTCCTTCCCTAAACATCCACGAAATCCTGTGGTCCAGACATAGGGAGAAGCCACCTTCCCCTGCCCTTCAGGGAGACTGCACATGAGGGCCCCTCAGGAGCCCCCCAGATGGACCACCAAGAGGTGGGCAGAATTTCCTCGTGGCACAGATGCTAGCTCTGTGGCACCCAGCAGGCATAAGACTGAAACCTGCTTCCTCCCTGATGACTGGGACACACAAAAAAGTTGGCCCCAAGGTCAATGCCAGACAAGCAGGTGGGCTGGTGCTTCCTGTGGCTGCCCTCTTTCCTGCCTTCTTTGCCTGTCACCACCTCACATCTACTTCCAGGGTTCCAGAAACACCAAGCGCCTGCTGACTGGGCAGGGACCAACCCCAGTGCATTGCAGTGCAGAGCACTGCCCCTGGGGGCTTGCGTGGCCTCGGGACTGTCAGTGCCCCTGTCTGCAGCTGGGGGAACTGGAAACGACTGGGTCTCAGTGCAGTTAGGGGAACTGCCCAAGATGACACCTCCTGTGAGGACCAGAGTCTGGATTTAGGCTAGTCTGAGAGAGGCAGAGCCTCGGCCATGGATGCAGGGGTGGCCCTGAGTCCCCACTGCAGACTGCCTGCGTGTGCCAGCTTGCCTATGGCCCAGCACTCTGGTGACGGGGCTCTGCCTCTTAGCTAAGGGGCTCCTGGGAACCCTCACAGTGTTGGTGTCCAGTGCCACCCTTTTAAGGACCGTTAGTAGGCAGCCAGCAGTACCCACTGGATGCCTTTCCCTCTGCAGGCCAGTGTGAGCCTCTGGCCTTTCGGGACTGTGTGCAGTTGCAGTTAGAGACGTTGCCAGGACCCTACACTGTTGTTTATGTCTCCTTAGAGTTAAGGGACAAAGTGTGGCGCACTGTTCTCAGGGAGAAAAGCATACCCTGTCAAATGTAATAGTAACACAAATAACTGACAGTGCCCACGGGCCTCCCACGGTCCAGCTAGCTGAGAGGCACTGGACACATATCTGTTCTGTTCTTTTCATCTCCACACCAACACAGTAATATCAGAACCATTATGACTCCCTCTTACATATGAGGAAACTGAGGGACAGAGATGAGAATAACCCACCTACGATACAGAGCATGTAAGCGGTGGAGTTGTGATTTGAGCACAGGCAGTTTGACTCAAAGCTTTTAACCAAGTGCCCACTGAGCCTGTACCAAGATGGCGATGTTCAAATGAGGCAACAGGGCCTTTGGCTGAAAAAAGTCTGCTTTCTGGTAGGTAATTACCAATGAGTATGTCATGGTCAAGAATCACACTGATGAGGGCCTCTTTAAAACTCTCCTTCAACTGCATGATTGTGACCAGCTTGTGCCATGCTTAGGGCCAAAGCTGTGTTTCAAATCCCTGTGGCACTGTGGAAGGAAGAGCAGAGCCCACGTGCTCAGGGAGAGAACCTAGCACTGGCAGGAAGGGAGGCCCTGGTGGTGCAGGCTGCATGGCTGCCTGTGCAAGGTAAGTGGGCAGTGAGCAGTCTGCTGCCCTCCGCAGGGCCCCAGGTCCAGAGCCAGCCTGGTGCTGCAGGGAGCGGCTGCTGCATCCCAGGGGCACCAGGAGGCCAGATGGGCCCTACTGCTGGGAGCATCCCTGTGGGTACCCAGCTGCAAGGCAGGCAGAGGGGCTTGTGAGGCCCCAGGGAGTCTGCTAATTGACAGTGGGTGTGGCACAGGTCAGCAGCCCCAGGACAAGACTCTGGCTGAGACGTGAAGGCTCCACCTTGGAAGGGGGGATAGCAGCACAGGGCATTGCCCCTCTGGCCAAGCAGGGACTGGGAAGGGTGGGATCCCTGTGCCTTTCTCTGTGGTGGAAGGGCTATAATGTCAGCAGGTGCCCAGGTTGGTGTGATGGAATGATCTGATCACACAGGGGTATGGGGCAACAAATCCTCAAGCCACCAGCATCTTGGAGGGCCTGGGGAGGGGCACCAGCTATGCCCTCCTCAAAAGCTGCCCTACCACCACCAAGAAGTTGCTTTAAAAGAAACGTGTTTTTATGGCCCCAAGGCCCATAAAGCAGGGTGAGGTGGCTCAGGAGCCAGGAGTGGCTGCCACTCCTCAAGAATTGTACACACTCTTGCCTCTACCTCAGGACTTTAGACCTGCAGAAATGGGAGGAAAACCTTCAATAGTCTACCCATAAGAGCTATTTTAAAGGCACACTAATGTAGCCACCATTCCAGGCCACCTGGAGTCCAGAAACAACTCAAAATTGTACTTTAAAGTCATTTCTTTAAACCAAGTTCATTTCAATTGTATTTTACAAATGCCAGTTTTTTATAACCAATTCTTACCGTGTCCATTCTAAGCAGACTTCACTTCCCACAGCTTCCAAAGCTGTCTTCGGCATATTTGGACTTGGGGGGATGATTTCTCTTGGTTTAGGAGATCAGCTGTGACCCACTTTTAAAAACAAAGAATGAGGACCTCCCCATGCCGGGTCAGTGTTGTGGTTGTGTCTCTACTTGCAGTAGGTGGCACAGCCACTCCAGGGCGTGACCCGAACAGCTCATGGGCTGGCAGGTTGTTTATGTCCTTGGTCCACACAGATGTCCCTGGTCCACACAACCCTTCCCAGAGCCTGGCCTTGGAGGAAGATCTTCCTGACTTCTTGCCATTTCTCCTATGTGACAGTGCTCCTGGCCCCCCCACCCCACATCAGCTGGCTCAGCTTTTCCACACAAGGCTCTGTGCAAAAGCAGCATCCTGTATGAGAGTGACAGATACTACTCTGAAGAGAAGTCTGTGGCCAAATATGAGTTCAAAGAGCTTATTTTCTGCTGGACTCTGCAGAGACGCTCTGTGCAGGTGACATCCAGGAGGGACCCAGGCAATACACACCCCTAAGTGTATTTGACCAAAGAAGACTTTTTAACAGAAATATTAACCTCTCAGGATTCCCCAGGGTGTATTTTGGATACTGCTGTGCGGAAGGACTAAGCAAGTGTGCGCCCACTCGCAGTCCTCCCCTCAGCACAGTGCCTCCGGCCCCAGGCCCCCAGGCCCCCCCTCCCTGACTGCAGGGCTGCTGGCTCAGGGCCTGCCAGCCTTCCACTGCTTGAGGGAAACGATGGCTCCGCTTGATTTCCATTTGTGCCAGGCACACAATAGCCAGTGTGAGCACCTGGAACCAGGCAGGCCTAGCAGAGGGAGGTCGTTTCCAACACCTTTTTACAAGGCAGAAAACAAGGTCAGGAATGCAAGGAGGCAGGAGACCCCAAGTGAAATACGAGATTTGATTTGGTTGATGTGAGCAGCAGTGGAGAAGCAATATTGGGGGGAGCACCCGTCTGTTTTATATTTAGTTACTTATTTTTTATCCCCACCCAAGGACATGCTTATTGATTTTAAAAAGGAAGGGAGGGAGCAAAACATCAATGGTTGCCTCTTATACACACCCCAACTGGGGACCAAACCTGCAACCTAGGTATGAGCCTCGCCATTGATCACACCCGCCTTTCAGTTTGCAGGACAATGCCAAACCCATTGAGCCCCACTAGCCAGGGGAAGGAGCACCCCTCTTTGCAGGGCCCTCTTGCCCTCAGAGCAGCCTCGAGACCCTCAGCCAGTCTCATGCTCCCCACCCAGTCTGCCAGCATCTAGGCAGGTTGTGCTTGAGGGTAACTGAGAGAGAGCACTGTGAGAGCCAGTGTCCCAAGTACATCACCCCTGGGGGGCCGTCTGCCTTCTCCCTGCAGAAAACATGCTCCCAACTAGCCCTGCAGTCCATGTCCTGGCGGACCCTTTCCCCAGGACACTCGCCACTATTTGGGGTGGGGAGGGCTGTCAACAGAAGCTATGCTGTGAGGAAAGTGAACACCGACAAAGGCCGGCTCTCCCCTGGGCTCCCGGCAGCTGCCTGCTCAGTGCTGCCTCCACCAGTGAGGGGACTCTCAGGTGTGCCTACCTCTTCTGCACGCTGACATGTGCTCAGCGGGTCACAGGACACACTTGCTCATGTGACCTTTTGCTCCCCAGCTTTTTGTGGACAAAGACACAGTTGTCAATGCTGTTGGGTCATCACATGACATCCACCTCCTGAAGATTGACAATCGAGAAGATGAGCTGGTGACCAGGGTCAACTCCTGGTGTACACATTTAGTGGACAAGGTGAGTAAATGTCCCTGATCTAGCAGGCTGCAACAGCTCCTCGAGCTACCAGCCAGGAGGAAACGGGAAATCTTCCTTTCCCGTTTAGAGAGTACATACTTTTGCAATAAGAAATGAAGAAGTAAAATTAAGGATTGTAGAATTCTACATGGAAGACTTCATGTTACCCATTCAGACTTGAAAACCCATTGCTTCATGATTTTTCTTACCTCAAATCTATAGATAGATAGGACAAAACATGAGAACTACTTTCCTTTCCCTAAACTGGACTCAGTGAAAGACACTAACCAATTATCTGACTCAGTGATACTGGGCTTTGGTTCACCCCTCAGATTCACAAGGATGAAATCATGCGGAACCGCAGGCGAGTGAAGGAGATCAACCAGTACGTCGACCACATGCAGAACGAGCTGGACAACCTTGAATGCAGCGATATCATAGATTAGAGGTGTGTCAGCACAGAGGGCTACTGTTGAAAACAGCACTTGGCCCTGACCAGGAGAGTGCCCACTTCACTGACCACCTCCAGCAGGGAGTTACTGAGGATTGATTTCTCAACCCACACCCTCATGAAGTCGTTTCTCCACCACCCCTGGGAATACTTCCAAAGGTAGAGAAAAATAAAGGAGTCATGTTCTTCTCCATTCTCTAAAGATGTCATCAGAATCTCAGTCACACATGAGCAGGAGAAGAGGCCAAGGCAAGCATTCTGCCAGTCTGCTGCAGCAACTCCCTGGGGCTGCCAGCTGGCCAGACACTCAGGGGTGGCCTCCGGCCAGCAGGGTGCAGCCCCCTCTGCCACGCCCAGGGCAGGCTACTGGGCCCTTCTCTCCTCAGGGAGGCTGCGGCTCCCTGTGTGTCTAAGCATGGCCGCCAGGATCCAAGGGCTCTCCAGAAGGTCAGCACACAGGCTGGGTACCCCATATCCCCCCTGCAGCCTGAGTCTCTGTGCAGTGAGGGTGACAGCACCTTCTCTGAGCACAGTCAAGGGGCCAGGGAACATGCAAGGCAAGTGTGGGAAGCACCTGGCCTGTGGCCAGTGCTCCATGAATGGGAGCGATACCATTTTGTCACTCAGCGTGCAAGGACAGGCAGCTCAGAAAGCCTTTGCTACCTGAAACCAGACTCTCCAGTTTCCTTCTCCATGGGCTCTGGCACCACACCACTGTGCCTGCTGCCCAAGTCTGGAGGACACCTGGGCTCCCTAGGTGGGACACACGCACCTGTCAGGTCGCCTTGCCCACACCTGCCAGGGCTTTGAACCCAGAAATAATGTATATTTTCTATTTCAAGAATAATTTTTTTTTCTAAAACAGTAGAAACAAGTAAAAACAACTGGCTTAGCCAAGAGGACTTACTTTCAAATGATTGTCTGATTAGCCCTGGCCGGGTGGCTTGGTTAGTTGGAGCATTGTCCCATATACTGAAAGGTCATGGGTTCCATCCCCGGTCAGAGCACATGCCTGGGCTGGGATTTGATCCCCAGTTTGGGTGTGTACTAGAGGCATCTGATCAATGTTTCTCTCTCACATCAATCTCTTTCTCTCTCCCTTACCTCTCTCTCTCCCTTTCCTCTCTCTCTAAAATTAATAAACATATTCTTGGCTGAGTATTAAAAAAAAAAAAAGACTGATTAAGAAGCAGGAAAAAAAGCCTTTGGGCTGAGGGTCAAGGCCACACAAGGCATGCAGAGCTGTCTGCTGATGAACTGATGACTGGCACAGTGTGAGGCTCCCAGCTTCAGGCCGCAGGTCCCAGATGGCCCTGGGGGTGGGTGGGGAGCTTGGGGGGAGCTGTGGCCTTTAGTGAGGTGCCGCTGTAATGAAAGCAATGAAGATGTGTGGAGACGCAACTGAAAACAGGGATCAACACCTTTCCCGGGTAGAGAAGTATTTAATAAAATCAGGAGAGAAGTCACTTGTATCGCCTGTTTCCACCTCATGCTGGCTGGGGCAGGGGCACCCAGGTTGCACTCAAGCTGACCTCCAGGCACACTGTGTCTTGGGCCTCTCAGGGCGGTGTTAGGTGGGCCATGCCACGGTGCCCCTGGGCTGAGGGAGCCTCCATCCTGTGGGCATGCAAGCATGCACCCCGGGCCTCAGTCCTGCAGGAGCTTGTGCCTGATCGTGGTGCTCTCAGAGCAGAGGTGGACAAAGAGGGCGCCAGCAGCCGTACGTGCCCGCAGCTCCTGGAGCTCATAGTCATGGGCCCATTCCACATTGCCCCACTTTTGGATCTGAGGAGAGGACAAGAAATGATGTTGAGGGAATAGCTCAGTGCCCTGCTGCCTGCCAGCCAGAGCCACATACCATTCTATGGCAGGACAGAGGGCCACAGGCTCTGATTCTGCTGAAACACACACGACACGCACAATAGGGAGGTGGCAGGTAAGAACACACAGGTGGCCAGAGCAGGCACCTGTGTCCTGCGAGGTGCGAATAGTCTAAGGGGTATAGTGCAGGCCTGGCCAGTGGTTCCCACTGTGGGCAGGTCAGGTACAAAAACCACCTGTGTGCCCCCAAGCCGGCTGCATGCTGCCCTTTCACACTTCTTCCCACAAAGAGGTGGGCATGGTTAGCCTATAAAATGTCATCCTTGAATGAGCTGCCCCACTAGGCTGGGCTGCAAATGGCCCCCCGTTGGTGGGACAAAACAATCAACTCAGGCTCCACTGTCACTTAGTTTCTGACTCCTGGGGAGCTGCGCCACTGTGGAGGCCACTCTTGCTCTGTTGTGCAGGGCAGGGATGCAGGTTCTCTGCCCAGACTCTAAGAACTACTCCAGGGGAGAGTCTGGACACACAGTGTGGCTGCCCAGATGTCCGTCAGAGTCCAGGCCAAGCCTGTCCCTCCTCCCTGGTCATCCAGGAACTCACAACCTGCCATGCCACAGAAGCTGTCGGCATTGCCGGGTGGCCTCATCTCGATTGGGACATTGCACTATGCCATCTGAAGAGAACTCATGTATGTTAATCCAGGTTACGTCCTATTTTGCAGCAGATCAAACCTCAGGTTCAGAAGACAAGGGTCTGGCTCAGGTCCCAGAGTCAAAAGCAGGGCGCAGACCAGAAGCCAGGTTTCCTGGCTCCAGACCTCTCAGAACCCACACAGCCTCTGCTCCCCAGGCCACCCTCTCCCACCGAACTGTCTCTAACACCCAGGGAAGAGCTAGCCTCTTTTGTGATCCAGAAAGTTTTTCCCCAGGCATTTTTCTGAGCAGATGACTTGATGGCCGTGGGCAATACTGTCATCATAGGAGGGTTTAAATGTGCTAGGAGCCAATCTGTAACAGCAATCAACCTTAAGAGGTGGGAGAAATAACAA